CTAAAAATTTGGTGTTGTATCAAATTGTTGAAAATTTCATGTTGGAAAAGAATATAATGGTTGAATTTAAAATATACTGTTAACAGTGATGCACTATGGGTGAAAAAAGTGTGTTTAAAAACGTGGCATTTAAAAAGTTGTTTATTTATAAGTTATGTTAATAGCATAACTTACTTATATATATATAAGTATTATCCTATACTCTAATACGAGCAATGTTTGCTTGTATGTATGCTTGCTTGCTTGCAGAAAGATCTCGAAAAAGGCCCCGACGATTTTCTTCAAATCTTGTAAATAGTTTATTTTTGGCCTAAAAACGAGTTTCATGCAGTTAGAACTGCCAACAAAAATCTAATTACGTAGAAAAGGGAAACTGAAAGTCACATTTGTTTAACATTAGTCTTATGGGTTGCTTAGTAACCATTTAGGTTGAATTAAATAACAAGGAAAAAGTAAACAAAAGACTTGAAGTTGTAGCATGTGTTCATAATAAGGCAACTACCCACAGTAAACTAGCAAATTACAAATACAGTACAAATGGGAAAGCATCACTTGTTACTATTGAGCAAAGATTATACTGAAGATTGCTCGATACATTGTAGGCTAGTAAAGGCAAGCAGTACAAACTGTGGGATCTGTTTATGACGATTAGATTAAGGTTATCTGCAATCCTAAAATGCTAATGAAAGGGAAGGAAACAGGTCTGCGACGTAGGAAGTGATGAAGGAAGAAGTCAAGGCGAGCTGTCCGGAGTGTGGGAACTGTTTATGACGATTAGATTAAGGTATCTGGAATCCTAAAATGTTATGGGAAGGGAAGGAAACAGGTCCGCAACATAGGAAGTGGTGAAGGAAGTAGTAAAGGCGAGCTCTCCGGAGTGTGGGAACTGTTTATGATGATTAGATTAAGGTATTTGCAATCATAAAATGCTATGGGAAGAGAGGGAAACAGGTCCGTCACGTAGGAAGTGATGAAGGAAGTGGTAAAGGCAAGTTGTCCGGAGTGTGGGAACTGTTTATGACGATAAGATTAGGGTATCTGCAATCCTAAAATGCTATGGGAAGGGAGGGAAACAGGTCCGCGACGTAGGAAATGGTGAAGGAAGTAGTCAAGCCGAGCTGTCCGGAGTGTGGGAACTGTTTGTGACGATTAGATAAGGGTATTGGCAATCCTAAAATGCTATGGGAAGGGAGGGAAACAGGTCCGCGACGTAGGAAGTTGTGATGGAAGTAGTCAAGGCGAGTAGTCCGGAGTGTGGGAACTGTTTGTGACGATTAGATTAAGGTATTTCAAATCCTAAAATGCTATGGGAAGGGAGGAAAACAGGTCCGCGAAGTAGGAAGTGTTGAAGGAAGTAGTCAAGGCGAGAATTCCGAGTGTGAGAACTGTTTATGACGATTAGATTTTTTTTTTGTCCTAGGACGCTAGGCACGAGCCTGGGATTGTTTTTCACATTACTTCAGGCTAGACCTAGAGGTTGCGGCATTATCACTTAGATAAAATCCATTGGTGACTTGGCGGGGATCGAACCCGGGACCTCAGGGACTGAAGTCCTGCGCTCTAACCACTACACCAGCTCGCTCCCCATGATATATATGACGATTAGATAATATGACGATTAGATTAAGGTATCTGAAATTCTAAAATGCTATGGGGAGGGAAGAAAACAGGTCTGCGACGTAGGAAGTGATGAAGGAAGAAGTCAAGGCGAGCTGTCCGGAGTGTGGGAACTGTTTATGACGATTAGATTAAGGTATCTGGAATCCTAAAATGTTATGGGAAGGGAAGGAAACAGGTCCGCAACATAGGAAGTGGTGAAGGAAGTAGTAAAGGCGATCTCTCCGGAGTGTGGGAACTGTTTGTGACGATTAGATTAAGGTATCTGGAATCCTAAAGTGCTATGGGGAGGGAGGAAAACAGGCTCACGACGTAGGAAGTGGTGAAGGAAGTAGTCAAGCCGAGCTGTCCGGAGTGTGGGAACTGTTTATGACGATTGGATTAAGGTATCTGCGATCTTTAAATGCAATGGGAAGGGAGGGAAACAGGTCCGCTTCATAGGAAGTAGTGAAGGAAGTAGTAAGGCTAGCAGTGCAGAGTGTGGGAACTGTCTGTGGTAATTACATTAATGTATCTGCAATCCTAACATGCAATGGGAAGGGAGAGAAACAGGTCCACGACGTAGAGAGTGCTGAAGGAAGTAGTAAAGGCGAGCAGTTTGGAGTTTGGGATTTATATATCTGCAATACTAAGACTGCTTTCACAGTAAACTAAAGATTTTCCCCGAGCAAAGCTCGGTCCCCAGGTACTATATAACTTAAAAGTATAATATACCTACTTTTAAAATTTGTTTTTTTTTTCATTTTTGGCCCTTAAAATATAAAGTTTTTCAATTTCTCTCTAGACCTTTTTAAAGAGCTTAAAAAACAAACAGTTTAGCTAAGTGTTTTTTACGGTTATTGATAACGGGGAAAATTTAAAAAATTGGAAATTTAAAATCCCTATGTTATTCTTATGGAGAATATTGTAAAATGTTGTAGATTGCTTGTTTGTGGATATATTTTTCGATAAAACTTTGCGGATTTATTTATTTTATACTAAATAATTGATATTTTACTAAAAACCCACTTAATTAGTTCCCTTGTAGCAGCAAACCTAGGTACTCGTTTCGTTAAACCTAATGTTATTTATTAAATAGAGCCCATTGTGGTTAAATACAACGGTCTCTAGTAAAATAATGGTTATGAAATCCATACACCCCTTTACTCACTAATATTTGGTACAAATTAAGCACATAACATTAAAATCACACACTTAACATAAGGAACACACTTTAAACACAAATGCAAATTGTTAACATCAATATTTAATCAAAGAAAAATCTATTAAATAACAATTTAACAGTAAGCTGTTAAATTTTTAACACGTGTTTCGTATTATTAGATTATGCATAATGGGTAATCAATTATTGCCATCTCTAAAAATAATTGGGTTTTCTTTTCCGAGTCGGGTTAGCTCTTCTACCCGACCGATTTTCATAATTTTGGCCTTAAGCCGGATTTACACTATGTAGCTAAGCCTGCTATATAGCATATTTGTGTAACATCTAGCAATGTTATTGTTCAAAATTAATAGTTTAAATTAATTAGCTAATAAAACTAATGTTCTTTTCATTTCATTTATTTAGAAACCAATAATCCAGCTGATCAATATTAATATTAAATTATACCAAATCATTGTTCCAGTGCATACTAAATCTGCATTAAACTCACTATAAACACTATAATAAAAACTATCTAACATTTCTCCCAGGGGGGTTTCTCAGGTCATCAGCTTCACCAGTTTGGTTACAGGTCTCCACCAGACTCCGGTGGCTGTACGAACGTCCGCTACTCTAACTTGGCCATCTCGCCCAGGGTGTACCGCCTCCACCTTGCCCTTAGCCCAATGCCCTCTGGCTTGGTTTTCATCAGTTATAAGGACCAAGTTACCAACTTGCAGATTTACTTGTGCTGTGTGCCACTTGGAGCGTTTGTTCAGTAAAGGCACATATTCTTTCAGCCAACGTTTCCAGAATTTGTCTGCCATGTCCTGTGCGATCTTCCATTGTCTATGCAGGTGCTTCTCCGTTATAATGACAGCTGGTGTGACTCTATCTGCTCCTCCCTGGAGAAAGTGGTTTGGTGTCAAAGGGAGCTCATCATTAGGGTCGTCTGATACAGGAAATAAGGGTCTGTTGTTGATTATGTATTCTACTTCACATAATAGAGTAGTCAACGTTTCTTCTTTAGGAGCTTGGGTGTTTAAAATCACTCTTAAACATTTCTTCACAGATTGTATAAGACGTTCGTGCGCACCACCCATGTGAGGGCTCGCCGGAGGTAGAAACGTCCACTTCATCATCTTCCCCACGCAGAACGTTTTAATTTGTTCGTTATCGAACGAGTCAAGTCCTTTTCTTAATTCCTTCTCTGCGCCCTTAAAGTTGGTACCATTGTCTGAGATCAATTCCGAAGGACAACCCCGTCTTGCTGCGAATCTCCTGATTGCAAGAATTGCCGAGTCCGTATTGAGAGAATTTGCAATCTCCAAGTGTACCGCTCGCACTGACAGAGATGTGAACAACACTCCATATCGCTTTTCTCTTCTGCGACCTATAGTGACTTCCAGAGGACCAAAATAATCCACAGCCACACAGGTGAATGGACGTCCATAAGGTTCCAATCTGTTTGCCGGAAGAGGAGCCATCTCAGGATTTTTAGGTGTGTTTCTGCGCAGCTGACACTTCTTACAATTTGCCCAACAGCTCTTAATTGCTCGCTTCAACCGGATTACCCAAAATCGTTGTCTCAAATTATTTGCCACTGTTTCTTGACCTTGATGAGCTGCCTGTTCATGTTCATGTTGGATCAATAGGACTGTAAGTCGATGTTTAGAATCTAAAATTATGGGATTTTTCAAGTCTTGACTGATTTGGTTCCCATATTCAGTCCTTCCTCTCATTTTCAACAAGTTCCCTGTCAAAATAGGGCTTAGCTTATGAAGTCGACTTTCTCGAGGAACTGGCTTGTTCTCCTCAAGATTCTTCATTTCTTTGGGAAAAGATTCTAGTTGTGAAAGTCTGAAGCAGGTTTCTTCAGCTCGTTGAATCTCTTCAACACCAAGACTCACATTTGTATTTCTTTCAGATTTACATCTCGTATTGGAAATGAATCGTTGCATCCATGCTACTGCTCTTATGAGTCTGGAGTATTTTGAAAATCTCTCCATATCTATAACATTTTCTTTGTTTTCAGGTAAAATTGCTAAGGCTACTTCATTGCAGTCTTCTTTTCTCGAAATGCTTTCAATTTTTGGCCATTCTTTTTCTTTTTTAAGTAAGAAGGCTGGACCTTGAAGCCAACGGCAATCGTTTGTTAATGGAGTTGATGATTCCCGTGTAGCTTCATCAGCTACATTTTCTGTCGTAGGTAACCACCTCCATTGATTTCTGTCTGAGTTGTTCAGTATTTTACAACACGATTAGCAACGTAGGCTGACTTTTGCTTTTGAGTTGCTTGAATCCAGCACCACACAATTCTTGAGTCCGTCCAAAAGTATGTTTGGTCTATTTCCATTTTGTGAAACTGATAGATCAAAGATGCAATTTGACTGCCTAATACAGCTGCTTGTAGTTCAAGTCTAGGGATGGTGGACGACTTTAGGGGAGCAACACGTGATCTTGCCAGTACAAATGTAGCCTCAACTTGATCTCCTTTTCCCACTCTGAAATAGGCCACTGAACAAAATCCTTTTTCACTCGCATCACAAAATATATGCAGCTGCAAGGAGCAATTTGAAATTAGGTTGTAGCACCGTTGTATTTTCAAGTTTTCTGACTTCTTTACATCTTTCATCCAGTTTTCCCACAACTTCTGTAATTCGGCTGGTATTACTTCATCCCATTGAATGTTTAACTTCCACAGGTTTTGTACAAGGATTTTTCCTTTCATCGTAATCGGAGTAATGAATCCCAATGGATCGTAAATAGACATCACAGCCTGCAGAACCTGTCGCTTTGTTGGTGACTCCTTTAATTGTACAATTTCATTCTTTACTTTAATGAAGTTCACTTTAAAGACAAGGACATCTTCACGAAAGTTCCAGTGCAGTCCGAGAACTCGTTCTGTATCCTCGGCTGATAATCCCAATTCTTCATTCGAGTAATTGCTTGACCATTTTGACTTGGGCAGTGAACTAATTAGTTCCTCTGAATTACTGATGACATTCCTCAAGTTGAATCCTCCTTTCTGGCAGATATTTACTACATCTTTTACCAAAGTTTCTGCTTCGTCAATAGTTTCTCTGCTGTCCAGATAGTCATCCATGTAAAACTGTTCTTGTATGGCATGCAAAGCTTCTTGGTTTTCTTTTCCATATTTTTCAGCATTTTTCCTCATGACATAGATGGCACTAGTAGGTGAGCACACCGCTCCAAAAATCATAGATGTCATACACCATTCTTCAAGATTTCTATTTCCTCCTCTCCAGAGAAATCGTAGTGCATCTTGATCTTCTGCTATTATTTTTATCCTCAGAAACATTTCTTCTATGTCTGCTGCAAACGCAATCTTGTGTTTTCTAAATTGAAACAGAATACCAATCAAACTGTTAAACAAGTTTGGCCCAGGAAGTAGATGACTGTTTAAGCTTTGTCCGTGAGCTTTCGAAGCTGCGTCGAACACAAACCGGAACTTGTCTGGTTTCCTTGGGTTGATCACGGAAAAGTGAGGGAGATACCATGTCTTCTCACTCCTGTTGTTAGCTTTATCTGGGCTCAGCTTCTCTGCGTAGTCCTTTTCAGCGTAGCTTAATATCTGTTTATGATATTGTTCGCTAAGTTTTGGATTTTCTTTCATTTTTTCATCGACATAGTTTAATCTTCGCCAAGCAACAGACCGACTTTCAGGTAAGTGAGGATTGTCTTTTTTCCAAAGCAAACCAACTTGCCAACATCCATCTTCTTTCTGAGAACATGTATTTTCCAAAATTGTTTCTGCTCTCACTTCCTCTTCAGTCTTCTTACAGCTGTAATCTGAGCAATCAAAAAAGTCTGTATCGAAACTTCTTTTGACTATCGAATTAAGGTCTTCTATCTCTGAGCTTATCTCGCTTTTAAACATCACAAATTCTTCATCGACTCGAGATTGGTAAATACTTTTTCCAGTGGGGCCGTTAATTGTCCATCCCAACTTTGACTTCAGTGCAATAGGTGCATTGGCAGGCCCGATCACAACTTGCAGAGGAACTGTCAGGTGGATGTGTTCATGTCCAATGAGAAGTCTTGGCCGACCACGTCTGAAAACTTCCTCTGGGATGTCTTGTAGATGCGACCATTTTCTTTTCATTTTCTCCATGCTAATTGATTGTGTTGGTAGCTGCAACTCTCTCAATGTCCTCACATTGTCCAGTAATAACTCTTCTCCTGTTTCTCCAATAACTGTCACTGATATGGTTTGAGACTGCTCTTCAGTGTAAACAGACCCATCTGTCCATGAAAACGATATAGGTTTTTCAGGACCTTCAATTCCAAGTTCTTCTGCCAAATCTTTTTCAATTATGGAAACGGTAGAACCATCATCAATAAGTGCATACGTGTAAATTTTCACTCCATTTCTTCCCACCAAAGTCACAGAGAGAACTCTTAAGAGAACCCTTGCTATCGTTTCCTCTTGATACCCTACGTGCTCTGTTTGTACTTCAGTTGGTTCAGGATCTTTTGTGTTCTCATCTTCTTTCTTTCTGGGGCAGTGCAACAGTTTGTGGTGAGAGTAGGTACAACCGTTCACTCCACAGGCAACCCTTTTACGGCACTTTGCTGCTCGGTGCTTCTTTTTCAGGCAATTGAAACACACACTGCAACTCTTGACTGTGTCCCATCTCTTGTTCACATCATATTCTAAGAACTGCTTGCAGTCTTCCAAACAATGTTCTTTTTTCTTACAGCAAAGACACATCTGCTTTCCAGGTCTTTTGTCACTTTCTTCTTGGATAAGCACATAGTTTTTGTTTTGGTTTGAATTCCCACTTGTTGCACTTTTGTAGTTCCCAGGTAAAGATGATGTACTAGGAGTACATATAGTTGCTGCATCTGCCACAGAAGAAAGCCACATTGAAAAAGTGTCCAGGCCGACAGGATGTTTTATTTGAGACTGTGGTGATGTGACGTGCATTCCCCAATTAAGTTTCATATTGGTGGATAGCTTATCAGTCAGTTCTTCCATCAGTTGGGGGTTGAACAGATAGTGATCTTGCTTCAAGGACTTCACTGTCACCACTAAGTTTCGCACCATGTCGCTGAAAGTCACCAAAGTGTCAGGCTTGTAATCTTTTGTGGGTGGGCGACTTCTCACACTTGCAATTAAGTTCTTAATTATGATTTCTGGTCTTCCGAAACGTTTTTCCAACAAATTGATAATTTCTTTTACGTTTTCGGGATATATCAATAGGGCTGAAATCATTTCCTTTGCTTTTCCGGACAAGGACTTCTGTAGTCTCTGAAGATTCTCTAGGTCCGTGTAATCATTCAATTCAGTCGAACGATTGTACTCAGCTATCCAAGCGGGCCATTGGTCAAGATCTCCGCTGAAGCTCGGAAGAGTAGATAAAACTCTTGCAGGCATCTTCTTTCTATTTGACTTTTCATCGTTGGTTAAATATCCTTTATTTACTACTGTATTTCTATTTGATTCAAACTGATTGTCATTAAGATAACTTTGAGATTTAGGTTGCATATCTTGAGGGGAACACAAAACATCTCGAAGAATATGCTTCCTATCTTTTCCTTTTAGCTCCAGTGTTTCAGTCTTTGCATCTCGAGGTCCAGCACAATGTTCTTCTCGAGGCGAAAAACTAGACTGAAAATCCTGTCGCTGTATGAAATCTTCCTTCCTCAAAGTCTTCATCTCATTCATGCCACAAGGCTCCAAACTAAATTTCTGATCAGATTTGTCAGTTTCCTTCACCTGCATCCACTGTTCGACAGCATCCTTAGTCGATATTGGCTCTTGTAGAAGTGAATCGAGCGTCCGTCGTGATGACTTACTGCTACCTCTAGACGATCCCTTGCTAAGAAGTGAAAGACGACCTTCAAGTAACCTCTTCTTGACTTCTATTTCCTTCAACTTGGCTTCTTCTTGCACTTGAGCCAGTCTTCTGTCAGCAATAGCCTTTTCAGCTAAAGCATTTGCTTGTGCAGAAGAGATTATTACAGCTGTCTCCTCTTCCTGTATCTTTATAAGCTCATCAACAACTTCTGTAACACTTCTATTTCTACTTTGACTTGAACTAGTTTTGTGAGATTTTGCTGTGATAGGAACTGACTTACCACTTGATTTATCTTCACCATCTTGTTGTCTTACAAGTGACATTTTGGCTTTGGACCTTGTAACAATTCCTTTATTTGACATTTAGTTGATTCCTAAGGGTTTTCGGCACCAATGTTCAAAATTAATAGTTTAAATTAATTAGCTAATAAAACTAATGTTCTTTTCATTTCATTTATTTAGAAACCAATAATCCAGCTGATCAATATTAATATTAAATTATACCAAATCATTGTTCCAGTGCATACTAAATCTGCATTAAACTCACTATAAACACTATAATAAAAACTATCTAACAGTTATATAACATTTGCTAGAAGTAGAAAAAGTAGCTTTTCAAAAGTGCTATATAACACTGCTATATGTAGCAGATCCTGCTATATACAGCTAAAATGGGGCTATCCATCGGGAGTCGGTAAAGATCAAAATAAATACGTGCTACATCTAACATTGCTATATGTAGCAATGTTATACATATATTTTTTGTCTAGCATCTGCTATATGTAGCATTTAGTGCAAACAGTTCACAGTTGTAGATCCTGGGTGCGAACGGTTTTGCTCAGCGATCTTTGTTTACAATGGAAGGACTGGAAACAGAAAGTGACAGGGCGTAGGATCGGGATGCAATTATAAACTTAATTGAAGTGTTCCGTGGACAACCGGTGTTGTGGTCATACGTAAAACGTTTTTGAAGCTACCGTCGCCTTATTTTGCGTTTTCATTATGGATTGTCAGCGCATGCGTCATCATTAAGGTCCCGTAATAAATCTGCTACACTCTACTTATTTCTCGAAGCAAGAAGCGGATGAACCTAAAACTTGCTAAAATCTTTACTTCCGTCTCTCTCTCTCTCTCTGACTTCCAAGATCACCGCGATAGCTGTCACGAACAAGGCTCTTCAGCGCACATTTCGATACGGAACGCGAATGAGGTTGTGCTACATAGCATATAGCACTAGCACCAGAATCACTAAAATTGTCTGTAAATTTTTTATACAGCAAAAGTTATATAGCAATGTTATATAGCAAAAGTTATATAAAAATGTTATAGGCTTTAGCAGTTATATATGTAGCAGGTTTTTCTACATAGTGTAAATCCGGCTTTAAAAATAAAGGTATGGACGCACCACAGATTTGCCATCAAGCATCGGCATTCATTTTGACGTATATTTCGAGTCATGCACAAACTGCCTCCCTGTACATTACTTATGTGAGTTAAATGTGTTTTTTTTAGTTCGTTTGACTCTTCTACCCGACCGATCATAATTTCGGTCTCAAAGCTATGCAAGCACATATTTGTCTTCAAGCATCATCATTAATCTATCAAATGTATTAATCTACAAAAAAATTTAAATTGGATTTTTTTTTTAATTTTTACTTCAATTAAAGATGTATTCAAGATGTTACATTATCCCATATGTTGTTATCTAAAAACCTTCAGTGAAATACCAGCTTCCATTGGAATTATTCATTATTAAGATCGGACGTACCTAAAGCACACTGCTAAATCACAAACAACCCAAATTGTTTAAAAATGGAGTTATATCGATTTATAGTCAAAAGATTTTGCTTGCAACCTCAACAGTAGGCTAACTGTCTATGTTGACGGGTTTCACCTAGTAAATCTTTAAAAAAATCAAACTTTCATAATTATTTGAAAATCTACATGAATTAAGCTTTCCAACGACCCATTAGTTAATAAAATCGGTCCAGTAGAACTCTAGATTTAGTTGTACAAAGATTTTAAAACTGAATTAATTATTAGATTTAATTGAAAATCAATTAAGACAAATGGAAATTCGTTTAGTCTGCAGGTTTGCTGCGGCGGGGCCGGCGGGGGTATTTTGTACTACATTTCTAAAGAGAAAGAGTGCTTCTAACCACTATTATAACATTTTTCAGCATTAAATTTCCTATAATTTGATACCCAAAAAGTTATTTTTACGAATATTAAAATTGTTACCCTTTTTTCAAGATGGCGGCCAAAAAAACGTATTTTGCGCCAATGTACGGATGTATATTTTTAGTATGTTGATTAGAAGCATACTACCTACCATTCACAGCAAGAATCATTTGTGTTGCAATTAGTTCCACCTTAAGCTATATTTTCAATTATTTCTACTGCACTAGTAGACAGTGTGGATGTGATTTGTTTTACTGAACTGGGTCTCACAAAATGATATTAATAACGCCTAAGAGGCTACTTAGTTGCAACCTCTTTTGCTAGATCATTGTCTAAACATGGTGGATCTGCAATACTTGTAAATGAGAACCTAGACTTTATAATTTACAATAAGTTAAATTTGAGTATATTAGTGGAGGTACATCGTGTTAAGTACAAAACAGTGATCGTAAACTTCTACAGACCACCCTCAGGTAATTTTTCTTTATTTCTGGATAAACTGCATGATGTCTTTTCAACTAAACTATGCATGGTGTGAAACTTGACTTCTTTTGCACAGGTGATTTTAACATAAACTTCCTGTCTGACAGCTTCTAATAAGTCCAGGAACTTTTTTTCCTTACAGCATTTCTTTTTATGTTGAGTAACCTAGTGACTCTAATGACAGGATAGTTTTGATCTGTTAGCTCAGTTTTAATTTCATTCTCAGATAATGATGTAGGGACGTTCCTGACAATCACTTCTAGTTTTTTGTCATGTAGGGGTTGAAAAGTATGATATTTAATGTTAGAAGAATCATAAAAGGCTGTCAAATTTGTAAAGTCATCTATATTAGACAAGTTCACTTTAAGGGACTGCCCTCGAACTTGAGTTGAAAAAGTTGCCTTTACCATATTTCGGACATCTTTTATTATTTCTTGGTGGTTGTTTACGTTGTGCAAAAATATAGGAGGGATTTTTAACTTTGGGTCATTTACTTGATTTTCCAAAGTAGAATCATCCATCTCGTGTGATTGATCCACGTCATTGCCATTACCATTAGAACTGTAAGAATTTTCAGACAGAATTTGATATTTATTGCCTTTACATAGTTCACTGGAATCTCAAACATATCGTTTCGGTTGAGATTCAGAGGAAGAAAAGGTAAGTTTACGTTTTGGAAAGACAAAATCATCATCAGGACCACTTACATTATTTTCATCAAAAGGCATAGCAAGGAACTTGTTTGTTTGTTGTACATTATACTTAGCTTTGTTTACATTAGATGTTGAACTTAAAAACCTAATATCTAGTTTTGGTCTTCACGCTGCAATTAATGAAATCACTAGGCCTAATGTCGCAGCTGGAAGTGTAAACAAATAGAGCGGAGGCTGGTCTATATGCCCCCCCTCCCCCCCCTGGTGGGAATTTTTTAAATACACATTTTTGTGCTCGTATTGACATGTACTTTAAGGTTTTAGGTGTTTGCCCCTTGTGAATTACAGCATGTTCCGGAAAAACACAAAAATATAATGATAGTTAGAATATATTTATTAAAAAAAATTGATTTTCTTTTTCGAGTTTGTTTGGCTCTTCTACCCGATCGATTTTTATGATTGAGGTCTCAAATTGATGGTATTAATGCACAGATTTCACATCGAGCATCTGGGTATATTTATCTACAGTCCCACTCGGCTTATACGTAAACAACATTTTCTCCCCATGTATTTCTTATGGGAGTTAAATTTTGTTTTTCTTTTCCGAGTTGGTTTGGTGCTTCTACCCGACCGATTTTCATTATTGAGGTCTCAAATTGAAGGTATGCACGCACAGATTTCATATTAAGCTTCGGTATATATTTATCTACAGTCCCACTCGGCTTATACGTAAACTAAATTTGCTCCCCATGTATTTCTTAAGGGAGTTAAATTTTTTTTTTTTTTCGGAGTTTGTTTGGCTCTTCTACTCGACCGATTTTCATGATTGATGTCTCAAATTGGTAGTATGCACGCATAGATGTTACATCAAGCATCGGCATATATTTATCTACTGTATTACTCGACCGAAAAAACGTAGATTTGATAAATTTTCGAACTCTTACTTTAATTTAAGTTGTATTTCTCCATTTATAGTTATATAATCCTATATATTTTGGTCTAAGAACCTTCAGTGAAATACTGGCTTGCATTTAAGCTACTGTATTAGTTATTCCTCCCCTGTAGCAAATGACCTTCGCATAAAACCATGTTATTGTCAGAAAATGCCATAAAACCGTCTCTCAAAAACATCTACTTTTACATCAATCATTTAAATACAGGGGCTAATAATGGAGACTGCACTATAACCAGGGAGGGATCCAAGAACCATTTGCAAATATGACTAATGGTGAAATTACTAATTAAACTCTACTTGCATTAATGCTAGTGATTTAAGAAGATAAGACCCCTTGTAGATGCCACATGCTGGCAAATTGTGGGTGATAAACTACAATATATCCTGAATTCAGGCAAAAAAGATGATGACCAATATAATATGAGCTAAAATCTAGGACATCTAAAAAATTAATATTTTATCGTTGCAAAACAACATGACACAGATAAGAACTGAACTTGAGTGGTTGTTGTTCCTATGAGTGGGAACAGCACTCAAATAGCATGATTACGTCAATGGGAGTTGACTGGATTGTTTAGTGTGCCTTCAGCCATAATTGAGGCTGTGTCCTTCACTGCTCTACTCTTAGAGGTAACTATCTGGTCCTAAATCACTCAATGACTAAACAAATTTAGCTATTGCAGTATGTATCTGTGTTAGTATCAGTTGGATATGCTGAATTTTGCTTGAATATTGATTTTGTTATCAACGTGTACATGCAAAATGCACTCATATATGTAAGTCAATTAGTATTTCAATTGATTCAAAAGTTAGTTGGTTGTGAAATAAGGTGAAAACATATTTTTCTTACATTTAGATCTGTTCTTTTATGGCGCCAAAATAGTTCAGTAGGTAGTAGAATACCTTATATTACAATAAAAAATGAATACCATACTGATTAATAAAAATTTTAGTTACACTGATTATTTAAAAACCTCTCAGCTTTTAAATGATTGATAATAAACGGTACAGTACCGCAGAGAGTTTACGATATATTATCAGATTAAGTATCAATAAACATCATATTTATAATTTATAGATTACTAGCTGGCCCGACAGACGTCGCCCTGTCCTAATGTGGTTTTATGTCAAATGCTCGTTCATTTTCAAGATGAGCTCGTTCGCATAGCTCAATCACGTCATGGTTGAAGTTCGTTCGCTACGCTCACTCACCTTTAGGTTGGAGCTCGTTCGCTGCGCTCACTTGCCTTCAGGTGAGCTCGTTTGATACGCTAACTCACATCCAGGTTGAAGTTCGTTCGCTACGCTCACTCACCTTTTGGTTGCAATTAGCTGTTGTCATAAATTCAAAAAAATAATAGTGCTGCACCCTGTAGGTAAATCTATTAACTTTTTATGCTATTGAACATCACAGAATGAAATAGTTTAGTTGAACCAGCTGTTAAGATTCTTTAATTCAATTTAAATATGAGTACTTATAAGGTTAACATGGGAAACTCCAGAGCCACTGGGGCGGAGCCCTTTTGACGGATCTACACCAAAATTCACACAAACCATCCTTGAAGAATGCTTAATAATGCCTGAAAGTTTCATTACAATCTGTCGAGCGGTTTTGGAGTCCATAAAGGACAAACATACATACAAACAAACATACATTGGATTTTATATATATAGATAATTTGGTTCAATATATTAATATTGCATTGAGTTTAATTTTACCATATATGATATAAAAAAACAATAGCAAACACATTAGTAAAGTTGTCTTGTTAGCGAATTTCCCATATAGGGAATAAGCTATTACCGTAGTACTCATGGTAAGACCTGGACCCGAGACCGATTTTTTTTTTTTCATTTTGAGGTCAAATTCATATATATTAATATATATATATATATTAATATATTTATCTATATATATAAAAGGCAAAGCCCTCACTGACTCACTGACTGACTGACTGACTCACTCACTCATCACTATAATTCTCTTACTTCCCATTTACCTAGGAGGCTGAAATTTAGTACACTGATTCTTTAGGCATTAAATAGGAAAACTAAGCTGTTTTTATTCTGATCGGACTCTCGGGCTCCGCCCCAGTGGCTCTGGAGTTTCCCATGTTAACCTTATGAGTACTCATATTTAAATGGAATTAATGAATCTTAACAGCTGTTTCAATTAAACAAGTTGGTTCTGTGTTCTATGATGTTCAATAGCATTAAAGTTACAAGGATTACCAACAGGGTGCAGCACTATTATTTCTTTTACATTTATGACAAAAACAGCTAATTTGCAACCAAAAGGTGAGTGATCGTAGCGAACGAACCTCATTCTGGAGGCGAGTTAGCGTAGCGAACGAGCTAACCTGAAGGCAAGTGAGCGCAGCGAACCAGCTCCAACCTAAAAGCGAGTGAGCGTAGTGAACAAACTTCAACCAGGACGTGATTGAGCCATGCGAACGAGCTCACTTATAAAGTTAAACGGGGCAAAGCCCGCGGGTACAGCTAGTATATATATATATATGTGTCCGTTAGCGCGATAACTCGAGCAAAAATGATCTGATTTTTATGAAATTCGGTACAAATGTGTAAACCTACGACAACTCAACTACTCAAAATACTCGTGTAATTCAAACGAGTTTGCGAACCAGCATGATTGGATCATGGGAACGGGGTTTTATGGGGTAAAAATGGGTGTTTCCCATTTGTGACCCAAAAATCATAAAATTTTCCAATTTCTTTCCAAACTATTTTGTAGAGCTAAAAAAAAAAAACAAATAATTTAGTATATTGAAGCGTTATAATGCGCCCAATGGTTACGGAGAAAATTCCAAAAAATTTTTAATTTAAAATTCCCATGTTATTCTAAACGTGGCTTTAGAGAACTTATCCAGATTATTTGACACAATTCTAATTTTCCCTCAATTCTCTCCTGAGTGGGTTGATTCAAACACATATGCGCAGGAGTATTTAAAGTTTTAAAATCAAGATCTATCAAGAATCTAAAATTTCTGTTGGTTTTTATGTTCAGATGGAGTCTTCACTTCCAGAGTGGTTGACAAAAGAATTTTTTGAACAATGTCTCCGTAAAGAAGAAGACAACAACAACATTGTGGTAACAAACTTGACCACTTCATCAGCAGCTCCACCTGGCAACAACTATGGGAGCTTCATCATCAGAGTTGAGCTGAAATGGAAAGTGGACGGAGATGATTCTGAGATGAAGACTTCAAGATTCATCGTCAAAGCTGAACTTACCGAAGGTCCTTTGCAGGAAATGGCAACTCAATTTGCCATGCACGAACCTTCATTTTACTACAATTATATACCATATGCAACTCAGTTTGGCGATGTGCAATTTGCTCCAAAAAGCTTCTTCACTCCTAAATCAAATGTGGTTATTCTTGAAGATTTGAAAGAAACAGGTTTTTTGATGGTTGATAGAACAAAACAGTTGGATTTCGACCATTGTCGCCTCTACATGATTGCAGCTGCCTCATTCCACTCATTGTCTATTCCAGTTTATAAAAAAAATCCAGAACTTTTGGAACCTATAAAAAAAGACACAATGTTCACAAGAGAATCTAAGACCCAAGGCATATTTCCAATCATGATTAAAAGTGGTGCAGAACGGTTTGTACAAGAAATTGAGAAGGTAGACAGATTCAAGAAGTATTCTAAAACAATCAAAGATATTACACCTCACCTATGGGATATGATGGTAGAAGCACACAAGCCAAGTGAACAAATAAACACAATCAAACAAGGAGATCCGTGGCTGACTAACATGATGTTCAAATACGACAAAAACAACAAAGTCTGTGACATAAAACTCATTGATTTCCAGGTGACAGGATATGGGTCACCTGTTACTGATTTAATGTTCTTCTTGTCGTCCAGTGCAAACAGTGAAGTCAAGAATAACAGATTAGAAGAACTGTACAGAATTTACATCGATTGTTTCAATTCAAATCTAAAAAAAATCAACTGTTCTGAAAAGTTGACTTATGAACAGGTGATACGGGATGTGGAAAAGTTGAAGCCATTAGCTTTGTTCATATCTTGTTCTTTTGTGCCTTGTTTTGTGCATCCTGACTCCATGGACATGGCGGTTTTGGTCTCCAAGGACGTGAGTGCGGGAGAGAAATTTTACGACAAGTGTTACACTAAAGATTACTGTGACAAAATACTCCCTCAGGTGGTTGAGTCTCTGGAGATCAATGGAGTTTTCAGCTCTCTAGAAAAACACAATGGGTAGTTAAGTTGTTATAACACATATCCTCATTAAAGATTTTATAATAAAATATTACTGATTTTGTGTGTTCCGTGGCAGCCGTTGTTTTTACCATTGTTTCCTAGGGTATTCGTTTAAACTATTGTTTTTATCTTGTTTGGCCAGATGATTTACAACATTGAAAAAGCACAATGATAAATAATGTCTGTGTCAAGAAACCAATAACAGCCAAGGATTGAACCTTTGTTGGTTGCCAATACAATATATTGTCTTTGAGCTTGTAATGACCCAAACAAATATTTTCAAACATTGGTTAAAAAAATTAATACTAGCATTGCTTGATAAGTGGCAATTCACCAATATATCCAGATGAAAAAAGATAGTTTATGAATGAAATTAAATGAACATTAAATTAAAATACTCTGCATAATATTTGGGTTTCAATGTGTTGGATGGAAAACAGATGGATGTATCTGCAAACTGACAGATCCTGTGTGTGTTGTCCCACCATGCAGGATAGCTTAAATTTCTTTGATGTGCCGGTGTGTATTGGGTTGAAAAAAAAACAAGGTTTACCTGTTGTCGATGGTAGTCTTAGAGATGTCTCTTAACAGCATAGCAATCTCACAAATAGTCTTAAAGGTAGAATAGGATGACACAATAGTATATTACGTTAATAGTCCTGAAAATAAGTGTTTGCCGTACAAGTGTTACCATACGAGTCCGGTAAACACATTTTGGACGAGTGACGAACGATAGTTTACGCCATACTACTAAATCTGTACAAATCTTTACTAGGTGGCGTTCGCAGAGGCATCCACAAAATTGAGCGGAGTGGAGTCATCAAGGGTTCATATTATATTGTTTTTGTCATACTGCAGTAAAAACAGTAGTTTTTAATGCATGCTTTGCGGGTCTAAAGTAGCATTTTACTATTTAGGGAGTAAAAATAGTTTTTAGCCTCTATGGAGTAAAAATCAGCTGTTGTCAACTCAGTTGTAAATTTCGTTTGTAAATGATTACATGTATAGAAAATATGTATCGATTCGTGCTTCGTAATCATTTTAACATACAGTATACATTCTCTTTCCGTAGCATTTTAGCATTGCAGATACATTAATCCTTTACCAAACTCAACACTATGCTCACCTTTACTACTTCCTTCACCACACCCTACGTCGTAGACCTGTTTCCCTCTCTTCCCATAGCATTTTAGGATTGCAGACAGGTTTTAGGACAGTTCCAACACTCTGCACTGCTAGCCTTACTACTTCCTTCACCATTTACTACGTCATAGACCTGTTTCCTTCCTTTCTCATAGCATTTAAGTATTACAGTTCATTTATTTAACTGCCCAAACGGTTCCCCCACTCTGCACTGCCAGCCTTTACTACTTCCTTCACCACAACTTACGCCGTGGGGCCTGTTTCCTTCCCTTCTCATAGCATTTTAGTATTAAGGATACATTAATCTAACTGCCACAGTTGGATCTCACACTATGCTGATGCTCATACTTTACTACTTCCTAAGCCACTTCCTACGTCGTGGACCTGTATTCATCACTTTCCATTGCATTTTAGTATTTTAGATACGTTAATCTAATTGCCACAAACATTTCCACACTCTGTACTGCTAGCCTTTACTACTTTTTTCACCATTCCCTATGTCGTGGGCGTGCTTCGATCCCTTCTCATAGCATTTCAGCATTGCAGATACATCAAAACTGCTACAAACAGTTTCCAGTTCCCACACGCCACACTGCTCACCTTACTACTTCTTTCACCTCTTCCTAAGTCGCGGATCTATTTCCCTCTCTTCCCATAGCATTTTAAGATTGTAGATACCTAAATCTAATCGTCATAAAAAGATCCTACACTCTGAACAACTCGCCTTTACTACTTCCTTCACCACTTCCTACATCGCGGACCTTTTCCCTCCCTTTCCTTAGCATTTTAGGATTGCAGATACCTTAATCTAATCGTGATAAACAGTTTCCACACTCCAGACTGCTCGCCTTTACTACTACCTTCACCACTTCCTACGTCGCGGACCTGTTTTCCTCCCTTCCCATAGAATTTTAGGAATGCAGATACCTTAATCTAATCGTCAAAAACAGTTTCCATACTCCAGACTGCTCACCTTTACTACTTCCTTAACCACTTTATACGTCACGGACCTCAAGCTTGTGTCATCATTTGATTATATTAATGATCCATACCGTTTCTGTTCTAATATCTGTGGAATAATGCTAACAGCTATTTCTTTATCTACTGCATTCAAAAGTCAACAGCTGATCATATGTCTTTGTTTATGTGTCAAATACTGCTTCCATAAGGATTACATTGAAACTTTGAGACCCAGTGGGGCGGATTCCTGAGAGAGTTTTTCAAGGCCATATAGATGTTGGCACTCACCGATATGGTCTTTATCACCATGCAAAATTTGAAAACGATTGATTCAGCCGTCTTGGAGGAGTTTGCATATTACGAAATGCATAAGAGTCGACGTATAAGAGCTTCGCTCAATTATACGTACGTAATGAAATCCCATTTGACTAAGGTGGTGGCAAACAGCTGTTTTCTGTACAAAATCCTTGTGTGGGAAGTTCGTCAAAATAGTGTAGTGTTGTATAAACTCGGGCATCAACAACAAAGGTAAACCTAATATAATTCCAGTTCATGAAACTGGGATAGCAAAAAATATTTTCACCACACCACGATGTTTTAGCAATAACGTTAATTAGAGGCTGAAATCTACGTATTGCTGTCCATGCCAGCTGTCACTGTAATTTGGGGACTTAGAAGGTTTTTGCGGCCCTATAGGGGTGAAAATCGGCTGTTCCCTTATTCACTCAAAACATTAATGACTGTATATTTAATACACTAGTTCTATTCATGTATTTCAACACACTACTTTTATTATCACTGCTGCTTAGCAACAATTTTTTATTATTTGTGCTGATTCCTCTAAATATTTCTTCATACAACTTTAAAGTTGCAGTTTTGTTGACTGTTATTGTGCATATCGTATATATTTTCTAAATTTTGTATAGTGTGGTGAAAAATAGCGTTCGTACCACGGCCCGAAAGGGTTTTGCAAATCTCAACTTCGTCTCAAACTTTAAAAATGATCTCGAGCCGGCAAAACTTAATTTCGACCCTATGAAATATATTATAGAGTCTTACGGCACTTTGCAAGAAGATTTTCTTAACCTTTAGGAGGGCCTGAAAATGAACCCCTATTGCAATTGCCCTTGTCAATCAAATGTGTACACAGCCTTCTCAAAACTTCCTTCACTACACTTATACACATTGGTTCACATCTATACACCTTTTTCCTTAGACTTGCCTTGATGGGTTCCAATAGAAGTTGACCCTTTTTACAAAATAATTAAATCACATAAATCAATTCATGCTTTGGTAGGTGTTGGTTTTGTTGGTATTGGGTATCGGCCTCCACAATAATACGAAGGATCAAATATAGATGGGGTGTGATCAGAATAGTAGTGAAAGAGCAAATACTCAGAGGTGGTGTCATATTTGAACTACAGCACACTTCATCACGATTAGAGCTTGCTCTTAGCCTTAATGGGCTCCTCACACTTAAATGTAGAAATGATAAAACTGCAGCTACAGAGATTAGACACAGGAAATACAGGTACTTAAAAGTATATCTTTGCAGTTTGCACCTATCATAAAATATTTCAACAAGTACAAACTAAAGATTGCGCTATCATTAACCTGAATACATCTATCATCAACTACTTATTGTTATCCTGCAAATTGATGACAGCATTACATAGCAGATTTGTAATTATTTAAACAAACAATGTTATTGTTGATTTGTAAGTGGATTTAATCATTTCAAAAAATAACATATCACTGAAAGTACTTATTGTTTCTATTAGTGTGAATAGCCCTCAACGGCCTCGACGCTAGTGCTCAATCCTTGTGATTATTTCAATAACAGGGAACTGAAATTGTTCAGTCAGCCTTCAGCCAACATTGTGGGAGTACGCCACTCTTCAAGGTAACTAGCTAAAGCATTGACTAACTGAACTTTTAAAGTTTGCAGCGTTCAGTAAATGGTTTTAAATTTAAAAACTGTAGCATTTTATCTTTAAATATTTATAAAATAAATATGATCAGTGTTCTTATAAATGCTCGATTCAATAAAGTTTGTTAGTTGAAGAAGAAGGCATATTTTTCTTGAAGTTGTGTTTGGTTTTTATTATGGTGTAAGAAGGTAGTATCTGCTATAACAAACAGTAATCAGTAATTTTTTTAATATTATTACAAACTATTGATGGTAATCCATATTAAATTCTTTACGTTTAAGTACATTTTGAATACAATTGCGTGAAATTAATTGATAATCAATAACCTTGTTTGTACAGCATTAGAATATCTTTATCCATCTTCTCTACACATATTTGCTTATCATACCTGTGACATGGTACTATTTTTGAAAAGGTTTTTTCTCTCCTTAGTTGAGATATCAACAATTTATTTTATAAGCTCACCATAAATCTTATTTTGTTTAGTTTAATTGGTTACATTGCAAAATCCAAACCCCTTATGCAAGATAGTAAAGCCAATGTTTTGATCAGTCAGATTCTTTTTTATTTTTTTGTTAATGTTTGTTGTGATAACTGTTTTATTTTTTGATTGGCTGTATAGAAGTAAAGACAATTTTTCACAAGAAATACAAGTACTGTACTAAGGAGACATGGTATATTCCTGATGTTAAAAAATAATGTATTTTTAGATTTTTCCAGCCATTAAAATCAAGCTGCCAGAACAGTGTGACTTATAGTCCAGGAAAAATACGACAAATTACCGTTAAACCTGGGCAAAATTGCTTTACAAGCGATTGAAGTGGTATTCAACACAGAAAATAATGCTTTATAACATATCCAAAATCCGACAAAATCCGACCATGGGAAATTACTAAAAAATCAAATTCAAAATGGCGGCAAAATTTCATATTTTTGAGATATTTGTTTTAGGACTTTTGGCGGTATGGGATGACGGAAAGCACATATACATAAATTAAATATCAGATTGAATGTTGAAATATCTAATATTTACAAGAATAGACTTTATTAAAACGACAAGGGCATATTTGTATGTACATTTTAGTTTCCATAGTTACTTAAAAAGAACTAAATTTAATAGGTTTTCTTGGACAAACTATTCATTTAAATAACTGTTATCATTTTGTTTCAATGTTCTTACATTCATTGATCTGGCACTCCCCTCAAAAAGCAGAACAAGACAGGCCACTATGTTTACATCCACAGTTGCACAATGGGTTATAAAAGAAGAATGGACCAGTTTCAATAATCACTCTAGGGTTGGCGGTATTTCAGATACTGTACGGTAGTACGAGTTTTTGCACCAAGAAGGACATTATTCGCAGACGTTTGAACAAATATGTGAGAAATAACTATTATAGGAAACAGTAAACATGAATACTATACTATGCAACATCAAAACAGGCAATGCAAAAAGACTACAAAACAAAAAGTCGTACCCAAATACATTTCTTATGAACGTTTCGTAATTTGAACATTTTTTTTAGATAATTTTTCTTATATCTCCAGATTTCATTAACGCTTGCAGTTTGTTCTAGCCTTAAAATATTCTGTGATAAAAGGGTTTACATTTGAGCTATTGATCATTAAAATCGGATGATTTAGAAACGAGCTACGAACCCTATAACAATATTAAATTTAACTTTTTAGATATACATTTTTATTAAAAGATGTATATCTCGGGTTGTTAATATGTCACCAAGTTCATTCTGGTCTCAAATTACTTAGTGAATCTTTGGCTTTAATTTTATTAACAATTTATTAAAATCTGATGAATTTTAATTGAGTCACGAGTCTTTATTTAACAGTAGATTATTTGTTTTTCAAAATTTGTCTTCAGTTTTAGACATATATCCCCAATTCTAAATAACTTCCAAAAATCTTTACGGTCTTAAATAAATAGTAACATTATTGACTTCTGTTTTAGCTATGTATTACTTATTGAGAGTTATTAGAATTGGGGATAAATGCCCTAAACTAAAGACAAATTTTGTAAAATGAATAATTTACTGTTAAATAAAGATTCATGACTCATTTTAAATATGTCGGATTTTATTAAGTGATACATAAAATTAAAGCTAAACATCCACTGAGTAATTTGAGACAAGAAAGAACTTGGTGACATATTAGCAACCCAAGATATACATCTTTTAATAAAAAATTATTTTTAAAAAGTTAAATTTAATATTGTGTAAGGGTTTGTAGCTTGTCTATAACACGTCCGATTTTAATGATCAATGGCTTAAATAAAAACACTTTTATCGCCAAATATTTTAAGGCTAGAACAAATTGCAAGCGTTAGTAAAAACTTGAGATATAAGAAAAATTATCTTAAAAAATGTTCAAACTACGTAACGTCCATAAGAAATGGATAAGGGAGAATTTTAGTTTGAATACATCTTCAAAACGAAAAAATATATTTAAAAACGGATTTTAGCATTGAAATCAGCGTGAAAATCTAATTTATAATGATGTGTCACAACACTATCATTACGTTTAAAATTCTATATTTATATCCAATATGGCGGAACCAATATGGCAGATCCAAGATGGCGGCCAAAATGCGTTCCCTATCATATTAAAGGACTAACCACACAATAAATATCGGTGGTAATCTCAAATAATAAATAACAAATAAGTGAATGTATCAAAAATATGCATGAAAATGCATGTGATATATTTTTTAATGTGTCCAATGTTGGGGATAACTGCCATTTTTAATCGTCATTAGAGGGGGTTTCCTGTAGACCGATTTTTGGCAACTTTTAGTACGTCACTCTGCGCACCTAACACTATACCAAATAAAACCGTACAATGTTTTCTTGCATTGTTTTAAGGCCATATCCCATATTTATCTGACTATAGGTGTTTTAAAATAAATGGCTCTTAAGAAAAATAGCCACCATTTTAATGTTTACTTTTAGACACTTTCCCATGGTCGGATTTTGTCGGATTTTTGATATGTTGTAAAGTAACATTTGTTAAGTCGAATACCACTTCAATGGCTTATAAAGCAATTTTGCCCAGGTCAAATCATAATTTTACTAGACTAAGTAAAGTTATTTATTCTTACATTGACGTATCACAACTCTTTATTTTGAAGATAAACACCTGATATCTGGTGTTTGTCTTTACAAGTCCTAGGTTCATCAGGCCAACTCTTGGAAGCCAATGTATAAAAACGTATTTCCCACGGCTTACAGATGTCACGTAGTAGCATGAGCTAATCTCCACCACTCGAACACAATCGAGGTTTATCTTTTTTATTATTTACATTTTACTGTGCTCACTACTCAGTTGAGCTAGTAAGCTTAACCTCTAAAAAGTTGGTTGATTATATCCAGTGTGGATGGTAGGACAGTAGGTAACTTATTGATTTGTTTGAAAAAAAAAATTGATATTGAGTTCCAAAATCAAGCAACTTATCAAAACTCCTCTATATTAAATTCACTTTCAATGTACAGGTTGATATGGGGTCTTCACTGCCAGAGTGGATGACCAAGGAGTTTTTTGAACAATGTCTCCGTAAAGAAGAACACAACAACAACATTGTGGTAACAAACTTGACCACTTCATCAGCTGTTCCTCCTGGCAACAACTACGGGAGCTTCATCATCAGAGTTGAGCTGGAGTGGAGAGTTGACGGAGATGATTCTGTGGTGAAGACTTCAAGATTCATCGTCAAAGCTGAACTTACCGAAGGTCCTTTGCAGGAAATGATGACTGCTCAATTTGCCATGTATGAACCTTCATTCTACTACAAGTTCATACCTAAAGCAAAACAGTGTGGTGATATAAATTTTGCTCCGAAATGCTTCTTTTCTCCCAAACCGAACGTGACAGTTCTTGAAGATTTAAAAGAAACAGGTTTTTTGATGGTTGATAGAACAAAACAGTTGGATTTCGACCATTGTCGCCTCTACATGATTGCAGCTGCCTCATTCCACTCAGTGTCTATTCCAGTTTATAAAAATAATCCAGACCTTATGTCATCCAATGACTCGATGTTCTCGAATGAGTCCAAAATGCGAGACATATTTCATTTCATGATCAAAAGTGGTACGAAACGGTTTGTACAAGAAATTGATAAGGTAGACAGATTCAAGAAGCATTCTAAAACAATCAAAGATGTATCACCTCACCTATGGGATATGATGGTAGAAGCACACAAGCCAAGTGAACAAATAAACACAATCAAACAAGGAGATCCGTGGATAACCAACATGATGTTTAAGTACGATAGGAACAACAAAGTCTGTGACATCAAGATCATCGACTTCCAGGGAATAGGGTATGGGTCACCTGTTACTGATTTAATGTTCTTCTTGTGGTCCAGTGCAAACAGTGAAGTAAAGCAGAACAGACTTGACGAACTGTACAGAATTTACGTTGATAGTTTTAATAAAAATCTAAAAAAGTTTAACTGTTCTGAAAAGTTGACTTATGAACAGGTGATCCAGGATGTGGAAAAGTTGAAGCCATTAGCTTTGTTTATATCATGCTCGTCATTGCCAGGCCTTCTTCATCCCGAGCCCATGGACCTAGCTGCATTCTTTTCAAAGGATGCGAGTGATGATGCGGGAGACAAATTTTTCGACAAGTATTACACAAAAGATTACTGTGAGAAAATATTCCCTCAGGTGGTGGAGTCTCTGGAGATCAATGGAGTTTTCAGTTATCTACAAAAACACAAGAAGTAGTTCTTTGACCAATTGTATCCTTATTAAAGTTGTTCAAACAAATTTACCCGATTTATTTTGATGACTAAATGTAAACACACATCTGTTTCGTTAGTAAATTTTTATGTGTGTCATAAATCATAAATCATAAATCTTTAATGGTCATTAAATAACATATGTTACAATAGACCTCGTTAACAAAAAAAAAGGGTCATAGATTCTAGATAGTATAACATGGTCTATAACATGGAATCTTCACTAAACTTAAATATAACAAAGACAACAAGAAAATAAAAGCTAAAATCATTTGAAAAACACAGAACTATATATATGAAACAAAAGTGAGGTACTTAAACAAGTGTTTGAAAGACTAGGTAACAGTTGACTAGGGACTAAGTAAGAACTAGATAACAATTTTACCATTACAATTGTATTCTGCAAAAAATTCATCTAAACTGTAAAAAGGGTGGTCAGCAAGCCAAACCATCAACCTTTGTTTCAGCCGAGTACAAGGAATGTCAAGCATTTCACTTGCAAAACAATTCACTATCTTCACTGATATACTAGCAAAACTTTGCTGTACTGTTGTTAGTCTGGTGTAGGGCCTATCCAAAGCAGATCTTCCCCTTGTGTAATATGAGTGAAAATTATTTCTTGAGCTAAAGAAATGTGAGTTTTGTTTTACAAAAATAACACACTCTAATATATACAAATTTACAGTTGTCAGGATACCTGTTGCTTTAAAAAGAGGTTTACAATGGTCCCTCAACCCTGAATTGGTCAACAGTCTTACAGCCTTTTTTTGAAGCTTTAAAATTATTAGAATGTGGGTGGAGTTACCCCACAGTAACAGACCATACTTTAACAGACTTTGAAAAAAAGCAAAATACGCAGATCTAACATACAAAGGAGGAACAAAATCTCTTAGACGTCTAATTAAAAATAAAACTCTTGACAATTTCTTACTTAAGTTATATAAATGGGTTGACCAGCTTAAATCACTATCCAAATCTATGCCTAATAAATTTACACTTGATGAAAAATTCTTTTCTTCCTCAGGTGTGCGACCTAACCTAAAAACAATAGTTTGAGTCTTTTCAGGATTCATAAAAAACCCATTGACACTGAACCAGTTCCTAGCTTCATTGAGGGAAAGTTTGGACAGCACCATGAGTTCACCAAAGGTACCTTGACTATTTAAGAAAGTGGAGTCATCCGCATAAATCACAGAAGTACAGGACATACATTTATCCAAATCATTAATCATTATAAGGAAAAGAACAGGGCCTAACACCGAGCCCTGGGGCACTCCGCAAAAAACCTCACTCTCATCTGACAATATACCCGCAACATCAACCTGCTGCCTGCGGTCTGATAAGTAAGACTTAAAAAGATTGAGTTCTGTGCCACGGATACCGTAGTACTCAAGTTTATTCAAAAGTAAACCATGGGGAACACAATCAAATGTCATAAAAAGTGTTGTTCAACTCAGTGTTGTGTGCCAACACCAATGTTTTTTTTTTATTTTTTTTTGAAAATGGTATACCAGTTGTCTAGCTCTTGTTTAGCAAAGAGCAATTACATTTTTTTTATTGAAATGGTAGTTATAGAAAGAATCCAATGGTCTGATCATAATTAGCAATGATGAGTGTTATACTACTGTCTTTAATCGTTAGGCTTTAAATCTGGCTAATAAGACAGCTGATCTTAGTCAGTGGTGGTTCTAGGATAGTGATGTAACGAGTCGAGTATTTCCTTGACTCGAGTCAAACTCGACTCATGACTATGTCAACTCGAGTTGCAACTCGAGTCAGGCTCAATTTGGTATCATCGTGAAACTTCAGCTTCCATCCGTGGAGTTCGGGTTGACTCGCAGCGCAGCCAAAAGGGTTATAGTTTGGCGAGTCGGCTCAACTCGCATTCAGCCAATAGCGTTTAAGTTTCGCGAGTCAACTCGTTACGTCCCGACTTCGTAAAGGTTCGGCTTTCTCCGTATGAGTTCGGTTTCTTGAATCGCTTTTAGGCTGTGAGCCAATAGCGTTTAAGTTTTGCGAGTCGGACTCGTTACAATCCAAGTTCGTGTAGCTTCGGCAATCTCCGTACGAGTTCGTACCAACTCGAGTTGTGAATGAGATGCCTCGAGTTGACTCGAGTCGGGTCTTGACTCGAGTCAACTCGACTCGCCAACTCAACTCGTCACATCACTATTCTAGGACCTTCTCAAGGGGGTGCTACCCGCACCAGGGGTATCCAACACCAAGAGTGGAACCAGGGGGTCCTCCTTTGGAAAACTTGGTAGGTCTATTGTGCTTGTTTAAACAGTTAAAGTAGTTAAGCACGAGAGCTCGCCCAGGGGTCGAAAACCCAACCAAAAGTATGTATTGTGCAACGCTGTAAATAAAACATGTGATTGGAATTTCTTCCACATTTGTTTTGATTTTCTGTTTATATTTCGTCACCAGCATGGCAAACCATAAGACCCATGTACATTTTTTTTTAAATTTCAAATTCATTTGTTGTGTTTATTTTTGAGCCTATTTTAATTTATAAAGGGATTTTGCATATCTACAGGAAAATTTCTTTCATTTAGTACGAAACGTGTGTAATTCGGCCCAGTAGTATGGTCAGGCTAGCTGACATAAGTTTTGCAAAATTTTTTTTAGTACATAAGATTTATATTAGTTTTCTAGAATTTTTTAATTTGAATAATTATAGATTTTTGTTTTTTTACGGTTTTAGAGTTACATTATTAATACACACCTTAGAATTTGCCTTAGATCTCCATTGAATATTTATTGGTTTAACCATGCCTATTTATCCACGTCTTATACTACTAGTCAAAATAGATAAACCCATATTGAGGATGAGTGGAAATGCAAGATGATCAGATGTGCAAAGAACTCACCTCTTCTGTTAACTTCCAAAAGAGCTGTCCGTTGTTTATTTTGGGTGGGTCTTTTCCACCTATTCTGTGCCACAGACAACGTGAGACAACACCGTTAGACTGTTAGCCTCTGATCAAACAATCAGTGTGGTATACTAACACGAGGTAAGCCTTACACCCTTTAGTGTAATAGCTCCAAGCTTGTCTATAAAGGCTGCAGAACAAGTCAGGTTCATTTTCAGCTGTTTTTGTTAGAATGAAGGTCGATTCACACACATCAGTTCTGGTACGTCACAGTTCAGTCACATCAGTCTTGTCACAGTAAAAAATTATTCTTCAGTAGACTTTTTATTGTACTATCTACATTCATCCGGTGTCGGTCGGCCAGTCGCTCTGGCGGTGTCCGTCTATTTAAGATTTTTCCCAGCTTATATTTTTGGATTGTTCGGACGCCTGAGGTACATGTTTGAGGTTAGAAAAAAGTTATTTTATTAAATGATTTGTGGTCATACAAAGTTTACAAAATACTTGGTTTATTAAAATATGACAAGTCTAGAGAATACAACACATCAAAATTAAATAAAACTTTTGTTTTAAGGAATTCATGGATGCCATAGAAAGGATTGCTTATCAACCACTCAGATAATTTAGATTAAAATTTCTTGAAGGATACAGCGGAATGTGACGAAAATGTTTTGTCAAACTTAGATACATATGTAGACTTAATATTATATCGATTAGTCAGTTAAAGTAATTTGGTTTTACTAATTTTTTTGTCCTAGAAAATAGTATAATATTACCAAGGATTAACCTATTGAATATTAATTCAACTAAATAATTAAAATGATTGAGAAACTATAAGCTGAGATTTTTCTCATAAAGCAAAATCTCAAATATTAGGAAAATAGGAATATACAATATAAAAAACCATCAACGTAGACTATATGTTATTAATTTTACCAGAGGGATGAAACAATACAATATTAAATATCATTTGTAAATGTAAAGACAACTATAACAATTAGTTTAACATCTGTAGACCTACAGATGAAGCTATTTTAAATCCATTGTAAGATATTCTACACAGAACTATTAAAGATTCAACATTTGTTCAGAAGAGCTTCCAAATCTTCAAACACCCCTTCCTTTTCAATCTGTTCTAGAAGTTGGGGAACTTCTTCTTTGCAGTACTTTTCATTATAAAAATGCTGGTAATACTTCAAGACAACTTCTTCGCTGTTTTCACCTTCCTTTGGAAGGAATTTCCCAAAGTCTACTGCATCTTGATGGGTGAGAAGAGGATACCAGCTTGCAGCCAGGAAAACTGTTAAGGGACTTAACCTTCTTAACGACTCCTTCATCTGTGTGTATGTCAACCTCTCGGTACAATGTGTTTCTTCTAGTTTGTTGTTGAAAGTATAAAGATAATTCTGGTACAGTTCATTGAGCTTATGTGTCCGCACATAGTTATTTGCACTCGTCCAAATTAAAAACACTACATCATTGAAGGGTGATGCGTACCGTAGACATTGGAAGTCTATGAGTTTAACTTCAGTGACGTTACCCTCATCATCATACTTGAACATCATATTGGTGGTCCAAGGGTCTCCTTGGTTGATGGTGTTGATGTAATCACAAGGTTTGTGGATTTCTATCAAGGCCTCCCACAAGACTGGTATTGCATCTCTCAACACTCTGGCGTACTTTTGAAACCCATCAGCTTTCTCAGTAGCGTCAGCCAGAACAGTCATACCTCCTTTGATCATCGATAAGAACATTTCATGCCCACCTACTTCATTCGAGAACATTTTCTCTTTTTCTATCGATTCTATGACATTTGGATCTTGTTTGTGAACAGCTACATATGCAGCATGCATGCTTGCTGCAGCGTCCATGTACAATCTGCAGTGATCGTAGTCCAACTGTTTTGTTCTATCGGCCATTACGAAGCCGTTCGCTTTCAAATCCTCTAGTACGGTGATACCGTTTACTGGAGGGAGATAACTCTGTGGTGCAAATGAAGATGTGTCAAGTAGTTTGGCTGCTTTTGGAATAAATTTGTAATAAAAGTCATACTCGCTTTGTTGGAGTTCGCCTAGATTGTCGAACGCTTCTTTCACTACTCCTTGTGTAAGTTCTGATTTTAATATCAGAGATATACTGTGCAACTCTTTGTCAG